TACCAGGTTAAAGAATAGACAGATACAAGAAGAATTTCGTTGTTATAAAAAATGTTAAAACCTCAATTCTCAGGAATCTGGGACACTTCTCGTCATTTTAGTGTACCCTTTCGCTTAGACTCTAAAAGATTATAAATCCTTAATTGTTGGCAAAATTTGTGTTGATTGTATAGTGCGTTGACATATGAAATTTTTAATTGTAGGATGATTTTTTTTAAATGAATTAGATTAGCAGTCTTGTTAGCTATTGAGTGATTAGCGGTTACTACCTTAAAAGATGTCTCGTCCCTTTATTTCAATAATCTCGATGTAAACAATTAATCCATAAATTTAATATTTGATTCCAATTTACATGGGTAAATAAACACTAGCAATATAATGACCCAGCCATTGTCATTAAAAAGAAGGACGTAGGACACAATGGTAGTTTACACCTACTGATTTAAAATTTCGGATGCATTTCATTTCAATTTTATTGAATATCTCCAAATGGACCAAAACAAAAAAACAAAAAACAAAAAAACAGTAGTGTATTCTACGAATAGGTAGACATGGCTATGGTTTTCATAATAATCATTCAACAGATGACTAGATTACAGAACCATGCTATATATGAGAAGCCATGTCACTACGTTTATGGCTATCTTAACATCAAAGAAATGGCCAAAGCTAGACATATTTGACACTACCGTTTACTTCTAGAATGGGACAATCATCATAATACCATCGAAAATGATGAATAGGATGTTATACACAAGTTCGATGTGGCTATTCGATTTAAAGGTTATTCCGATATGTACCACTAACGGTAAGGAGTCGTTTTGGTTGATGGTTTAGAATATTTAATCTCGGATAAGATAAACAATATTTGATTGGTCATATAAGAAAAAAAAGAATCGTTGCAAAACTAATGAAATGTTTGGTTGGTGGTATTAAGTTATGCGGGAATTTATGTATTATTTAATGCGTGATAGACTATTTGTTGAGAAGAATGCATAGTGTAGAGTCTAGTTAGGAAGTTAGAAGTTAGTTAGCGGGCCAAATGTACCGCTGTCAACAGCTAATATATTGTTAGGTAGTTAGTGGTTAAGTGATGTATGTATATATATATACACATGTACATTGCAAGTAGAAAAGATTCGATATTTTTCAAACTCTGCTCTATTACTTTCTTCCTCTTTCCTCTGTTCTCTCTGTTCCTTCAATGGCTATGCCACTCTTAACATGGTATCAGAGCTCAGCTTAATTCCGGCGGGTTCATCAATGGCGGACGAGTAAGGAGAAGGTACAATTGAGCTAGTCGAATCCTAAATCAGTTTCATCTGGTTCAAATTGCAGCTGGAGATACAATCTCTTCTTCTAGTTAGGGTTTGCTGATTTTGAGCAAATTCACCAACTTTTCTGATCTTTTACAACAATTTAAGTAAGTAATTCTCTTCAATTTACAAGTCTACAAAATTAGTATGTTGATTAATGAAAATGAGTCTATTTCGACCAATGTTACATCATCTACATCTGATACTCAGAATATTGACTTAGTTCATCACAATCATCCTTTGTATATTCATCTTTCTGATACTCAAGGTGTTGTTCTCATCTCGATTTAGCTTTGAGGATATGAAAACTACTCTCTTTGGAGTAGATCTACAAAAATTGTGTTGCATGGCAAAAACAAGTCAGGTTTTGTGCTAGGAACCTGTAGGAAGGAGCTCTATGATTCAAGTCTTCATGAACTTTGGGATCGATGTAATGCTATTGTTTTAGCATGGTTAATGAACACTGTAGCTCTAAATTTACTGAGTACTATGATCTATGCATGTAATGCCCACAAGGTCTGGGAAGATCTTCGTGAGAGATTTGATAAGGTGAATGCTGCTAGATCATTTTATCTTCACAAGGAAATTGCAAAACTGACTCAAAATCTGCTAACTGTGTCTGAATATTTCTCAGAACTTAGAGAGTTATGGGATGAGTATGAAGCCTTAGCTCCTGCTCCTTCATGTGGATGTCCTAAATCCAAGCAGCATGCAGAACATTACCAACTACAGAAATTGTATTAGTTTTTGACTGGTTTAAATGATTCTTTTGACAATGCTAAAGATCAGATTCTCATGATTTGACCACTTCCAAATGTCAACCAGGCCTATGCTATGGTAGTTAATGTTGAGAGTCAAAGGAGAAACAATGTAGCTCTAAGTGTTGGCATTGGCGATTCAACAACACTGATGAGTAAGGCTAACTTAGAAAATGGAAATAACAGTTTCAAACCTAGAAATAGTCTTGGGAGGCCTACACTACAATGTGACTACTATCACTTGAAAGGTCATACCAAGGACACTTGCTATAAGCTCCATGGATACCCTACTGATTTCAAGGCCAAGAGAAGAGGTTATTCAGGTCCTCAGGTGAACAATGCATTTACTGCTAGAGGATTTCAACCTTCTGACCTTCCTCAACCTACTCCTCAACCTACTTAACATTCTACTCCTCAATTTTCCCCTGCTCCAGTGTTTACTCAAGAACAATATGATCAGATCCTACATATGTTGAACAAAGGAAAGCAGTTAGAATCATTGACAAATGCAGCAACTATGAATAACACAGGTACTATAAAAGCCTTCATGTCTTATCTAGTTAATGGTAGCTGGGTAGTAGACACATGGGCCTCCAACCATATGGTACATAATTCCAAGTTACTAAGTGAAATCAAAGATCAGACTAGTATAGACCATAACAAGGTTCATCTTCCTAATGGTGAGCAGATTGCTATCAGTCACACTGGAGTTTCCACAATCTTCAAAACTAAATCATTACAGAATGTATTATACATTCCAGACTTCAAATACAACTTGCTTTCAGTCTCAAAGCTTACAAAGGAGTTAAGATGTCTTGTTGCATTCTTTCCTGATTTTTGTCTTTTTCAGGATCTCTTGAATGGGAAGGTAATGGGGATTGGTAAGGAAGAGTGTGGACTCTACATCCTGAAGCCAAATATCTCTGAAGACTCAGTGCACCAGCAGACTGCAAAGCAAGTAACAATCTAGAATCTTCTGTAAATACTATCTTTAGTTCCAATACGGCAATCCTTCCTAAATCTACTAAGAACTGTATTGTGTCTTTGTGGCATAAGAGACTAGGACATGAACCTCTGAAAGTTCTACAAAAAATTAGTAGTTTACCTCACATTCCTATGCAAGACCATCATTGTATAGTGTGTCCTATTGCTATGCAATCTAGACAGCCATTTCCTCACAACATTTCTTGTTCTACTCTTCCTTTTGAACTTGTGCATGCTGATGTCCGGGGTCCATACAGGGTTCCAACTCATGATGGTAAAAGATACTTTATGACATTGGTAGATGATTTCTCTAAGTACACATGGCTCTTCTTAATGAATACAAAAGTAGAATCTGTTGTTGTGCTGAAAAAGTTTCTAACACTAGTTCATACTCAATTTGATAACAAGGTTAAGTGTCTCAGGTCTGACAATGGTACTGAGTTCTTCAATGAGCAGGTGACTAGTCTCTTGTTGTTGCATGGAATTATTCATCAGAGTTCCTGTGTATATACACCTCAGCAGAATGGTACAGTTGAGAGAAAACACAGGTCTATTCTCAACATGGCAAGAGCCTTGAGGTTTCAAGCATTTGTTCCACTCTAGTTCTGGGGTGAGTGTGTCTCCACAGCAGTCTATCTTTTGAATAGATTGCCTACTGTCTTATTGAAGGGAGCATCTCCATTTGAGAAACTCTATGGCAAGGTTCCATCTCTCCAACACTTGAGAGTCTTTGGTGGTCTATGCTATGCCACTGTTACTAGCAAAACAGATAAATTTAGCCCAGAGCCATTCCTGCTGTTCATCTTGGCTACTCTTCTGTGCAAAAGGGATACATTTTATATGGTCTTCACTTAAAACTATTCTTTGTGAGCAGGGACGCTGTCTTCAAGGAGGATGTCTTTCCTTTTAAGCATGAAATATCTGGTTCTTCCCCTTTATTTCCCATTTTGGATATTTTAGAAGCTGATTGTTCTTCTCCTCAGTCCATTCCTTCTCCTAGAACTCCTATAACTGAGTCTCCTTCTTCTGTTTCTTGTCAATCAGTTGATTCTACTCAGCTAACTTCTGATCTTCCACCACTATCCAGTCCTTCTCCTATTGCTGCTCCGCCTCCTATTAGGAAATCATCTAGGACCTCTGTTCCTCCTATATGGTTAAAAGACTATGTTGTACCCTCCAAAGGAGTAGTCTGCAATTATTCCATTTCCCAGTATGTTTATTATGACAAGCTGTCTCCTGCCCATCAGGCTTGTATTGCTGCACACTCAGCAGTGTCTGAGCCTACTTCCTATGCTGAGGCCAGTACTGATCCTTCGCGGATAGAAGCCATGCAGGCTGAGATTGCTACTCTTGAGGAGAATCAGACCTGGTCCATTATTGACCTGCCCCCTAGCAAGTCTCCTATTAGCTGCAAGTGGGTGTTCAGAGTCAAATATAAGTCCACTGGGGAGGTGGAAAGGTATACGGCTCGGTTGGTTACTAAGGGGTATAGCCAGCTTGAAGGACCGGATTACAAAGAGACTTTCTCTCTTGTGGCCAAGATGGTGACAGTGAGATTTGTGGTGGCTTTGGCTGCAACATCTGGTTGGTTTATTTTTCAGATGGATGTCCACAATGTATTTCTTCAAGGAGACCTTCTTAAGGAGGTCTATATGCAGATCCCAGATGGCTTTTCCAGCCAGGGGGAGTGTCATCAGAAAGTATGCAGATTGCATAAGTCCTTGTATGGACTCAAGCAGGCTCCTAGACAGTGGAACCTGAAGCTGACTTCTGCTCTCAAGGATATGGGATTTGTTCAGTCTCATTATGATTACTCTTTTTCACACAAAGGGTAGGTGGTGATCTAATAGTAATCCTAGTATATGTTGATGACATGCTGGTTACTAGGAACAATGTGGAGCTTATTCATCAAGTGAGGACAGACTTGTAAGTTAAGTTCAAAATGAAGGACTTGGGAGAATTAAAGTTCTTTATGGAAATTGAGTTCTCTAGATCTAAAGAAGGAATTCGTATGAATCAGAGGAAATATGCTCTTGAGTTAGTGTCTGAGCTGGGATTGGCTAGTGGAAGGCCTGTTGCTACACCTCTTGAGTTCAATCATAAACTTACCTCAGTAGCATTTGATGAATTCATGAACAAAGGGGAAACCTCTACAAATGTACAACTTGAGGACCCATGGAGCTATCAAAGACTGGTGGGCAGACTGCTGTACTTGACAATGACAAGGCCAGACATTGCCTCTGTTGTTCAAGTACTGAGCCAACACATGCATGCTCCTAAGCAGTCACATATGGAAGTAGCTGTACGAGTGGTCAAGTATATCAAGGGAACTGCAGGATTGGGACTGTTTATGCCAGCAAAAGGTAACAAGGAACTACTTGCCTACTGTGATTCAGACTGGGGTTCATATGTGGAAAAAAAAGGAAGTTCTATTACTGGTTATATAGTTAAGTTTGGTGAAGCTTTAATCTCTTGGAAATCCAAGAAGCAAAGCATAGTTTCTAGGAGCTCTGCTGAATCAGAATTCAGGAGCATGGCAGCTACTGTTGCTGAAGTCACTTGGCTAGTTGGTTTGTTTGGAGAGCTAGGAGTTGCAGTGAACAATCCTGTGCAGT